TATTGATATCTCAGCAAATCAAAAAGGTGGGAGGTTCTTATCTTATATTCTAGCTTGTCAATGTCTGAAAGTTAAGCTTCTAATTTTCCACCATAGACATTATACGGTAGGCATAATACAATTATAAACTGATCAATAAGACACAAGTACAGGCAATGTGATACACAAAAAAAGTATAATTAGCATTTTGTTTTTAATACTTCTTTCCAATTATGAAATTAAAAAACATATCATATTAAAATCTGAATTATAAACCACATATTGATGCCAATTTTATTGACATACATTGATAATAAAGTTTTTTAATTAAATTTTGAAAATAGCTCGAAAACATCATGATGTGCCATTTAACATGTCTGTAGTGAGAGGGTTAAACACATCTGTTAACAGTAGTGCTTAGTTTATGAATGAAGTTGATTCCAAGTGCAAGTTTTTATAGGAATTCTACTGTGCATAGAGGATGTATCACTCTCTTGTTAATGGAGGGCTACTGCTGCATGACAATTACATCATGTACTAGTTCAGTTCATGTTAAAACAGGATTTAGGTGGAAGAGAGTTAAAGGCTAGTGTCATGCACAAAATCTCAATGGCAGGTGGATCATTTCAAATCTTTAGTTTTAGAAAGATCAAAACCATCAAAAACATGCATGCATGGGTACATAGGTTACAAACTAACTCAGTAAAATGAACAATGGATGCTAAAATTTAAGCAATTAAAACCTCTCTAACCACAGTGCAATGTGTTTATCACATGTACAAGGTGAAAGAAATCTCTTGATATATATAAAACAGATGCTTCATCAATCACAAGATAAGCTCACATCCTTGGGAAGGTGCAATGATAATTGTCTTTTAGGAAATATAGGAAACTTTTAAGCTCTTTATCATTTAAATACATTTTAAATAGTTCAGTCAAGACTCTGCTTACAGCATTAGGTTAAGATTAAAAGACAAATTAATTTCACATTTTGTTCTACTTACTTTAGTGAGGTGGCTATGTTCATAGCAGTCAGTTTATTTTTCCAACCACTGTGTGGTTGGCATTTCATTATTACATACTAGTCTCTGCTTTCACTCATGAGTTCTTAGAATTGACATAGGTGAAACCTATAACATGTTTTGCATGAAATATTGTGAAAAAAATATATAAAAATCACACAACCATGTGTCTAAATCAGGTGTAAAAATATTTTGATAACTTGTGATACTTCAAGTACATAAAATGCTAAGAACATTTAGTTCTTCTCCCCATCTAACTGTAAATCAAAGATGTTGAACATTCTGAATAACACAAACTCTTGATTGACTAAATGCATGTGTGATTTCTATATCACATTATTTAATATTAGGGCTGGGCAATTAGGGGTATTTGCTAATCAACTAACAGATGGACTCAATCTTCTGTTACTTTAATTGATTAGTACACATCCTCTCCAACCAAGAGAAATGAACAGTCTCTTATTTATTACGTAAACATGTATTTAGTCAAAGTAAAAATCTAGTACTTTTTGGGCATTCTTCAAGTAGCCCAAATTTGAAGTCAAACAAATGATAATTAAAATAACATCAATATATTTTGTAAAATAAAATTTTTGATAGTTATAACTGTATGAGAAAGTTTGAAAACCATTAGGGAAAAAGATAAAAATAAAATTACAGTGTATTCAGATGATACAGAACTAATATGCTAAGAAATAATAACGTTTAACTTCTCCACACTAGCTACAGTAATGTTTCATTTCTACAATGAAGATTATATCGTTATTTATATTAATGTTAATGCGACTGATATGAAAATAAAAACAATTAAAAATAAACAATTCGAATTTTTAGTTCAGATTAAATAGTTATAATTATTTATAATCATAGTTAGACAAATAATTATAACACAGGTAAACAGGATGCCTGTTTTGAAAGTTTTATAAAGTTGTAACTTAAACAGTCATACAACCTGCATTATCACATATTTTAGACATCAACAATACTAAAAACATCTTTCTCGGAAAAACTCTCATTTTTGAACAATCAAAAATCAATTCAGTAACATGTCTATGTTACAAGAACTGCAAGTGTCCTAAACAATACTAATTTTGGTGAAAACATATCTGTAAAGTCTAGACACATTATTAGTGTCTGAAAAATGCCAAGGTGCAAATTTTACCATAGCAACATTTAACTGACATTCAAATTGTATTATCTTTGAAGCAATCAGTTATGGCTGAGGTATTAACTCTCCTTTTATAGTTTCCATACTATAACTTCTAATATTTTTTTGTGTATCTTCACCAAATTTTGCAAGCTTTCAGTAATCATCAAGTCATTTGTAAATAAAAATTCTGAATTTTTGATAACATATTTTCACTTAAGATTCTCCATGAATATATTGAGTTAAAGTGTTGACTACTCTGAGTGTAAAGTAATTTTCATGT